ATTTGGAAATTTAAAAAAATTGATTTATAAATAATGAGAAAATATTTTTTAATAAAATAAGCTCATTATAATGAAGCATATTCCAACGCGCACACAAATAGTTGAACGAATTCGTGCAATACCATAGGAGGAGTAGAGCCCCTAATGAGAAGAACCCCTACGGCACAGAGGACAGAAGATTGGAGCGGCTGCCTAGTTACACTTTAATCTGGGGGGGGGGGAGCGCCCCTACCTCACGTAGCCCCCATGAGATTTATAGTTTAATATTAGCGGGAGGGGGAGAAGGTAATGCACCTCATCCATCCGAAGGGTCGCCTCCTATACCTGCCCCCCTAACCAATGCAAATCACAAGGAGGCCCTGGCACAAAAACTGTCGGGGAAAAGTTGGGAAAAAAAACACCGACCGTAGTCACGAGTCTGGGTCAATTGAAACAAAGGGACACTCCCAAGGGATCTCTTTTTTTCTACCTTTTTTTTTATCTCTGATTTTATCCGTACGCCCGAACCCAACCTATTGTATCTAACCGATTCCACGATCCACCGGAATCATTTTGATCAACTTATAATTACTAATATAGAATTCCGTTTTCGAAGAGGACAATACTGAACTAGCAAGCAGTCATCATCACAATGCTAACACTGCAAAAAATACACTTACAATCTGCCACATCTTGCATGAATGTTCTTATAACATTTCAAATTAAATCAATTCAGGACTTATCCCACCAATATAAAATATCCTAAAAAATGACGAACACACGATAACGTTGGTGCTAGACTTCCAGAAACCAAACAATTTGTTGAATACAATTTAAAAGCTTATAAGAATTTAGGTCAGAGATAAACTAAAGTAATCTACAGGCGTTGAAGACCTTGACGTTTTACGCATTGAAGTCACAAACAACAATAACTGAGATGAGATGAGTTTTTAGTATTATTAAAGGATATAAATAATATTCACACATCCAGAAAAAGTAAACACTTTGAAATTTACGGCTAAGGTGTTTTTAGTTTCATTTCTTGCGAAAATAATATAATTTTCTATTGTAATGAGGTCATCATAGAGGTGAGTGTTATATAGCAGTTTCCATATAATTCGAACACATTGATGTTTAAGGGATGTCTAATATATATAATTCGTTCCAACTACACCTTTGTTGTAAAATAGTCCCTTTGAGTATAATTTGGTACTATTTTATAAGTAGCCAGTACTATACTATATCATAAGCAGTTAGGCAGGGAAATAGCTCTTTCAGTCCAATTTCAGTAGTGTTTTTTTGTAGGCTTATAAAGTTTTCAAGGAGTTGGAGAAGAACAAGAGAATGTTCTGTATTAATAATAATAGTACATCTACATCAAGCACTACATTCCGTAAGCCTTGTGTTTGTGGCTAATTTCGTGAAGACTTTGTCTTGCAATGATTCTCCTTCTGATTCTTTCACAGGATGACCAACATTTTTTCATCATAATCTACGAGGAGTGAGGAATCCATGGGCTGCCTTACTCACAATCAATTCGTTAACTTAACTAACCACAAAAAATATTTAATTATAAAATAAACAATTATTTCCGTGATTCATTCTCCTATTCCTTACAGCCCTCCGTTCTTCCTATTTCTTTTGAGAGAAGTTCCCCAATGCCTCTCCCCTAATCTCTTTATCTTCCTTAATCACTAACTTCATCTCGAAATCTCGATATTTCTTCCCTTCCTTTAGGACTCCTTGCTCAGAAATTAGTATGTTCCTCCTGTCTTCCTCTTCCTCTAGCATTACTGATGATTATCTGGATTTCGAATGTCTTATAATTATTAGTAATTCAAGTATACAAACAATGTACCAATATTTAGTTTAATTTACTGATCTTCCTGACCAAGAATTATTCCGACCATTTCCTATCAATTTTGATTACTTTAATTTCTAATGTACTTCGAATTTATTTTAATACGATATTCTTTTATTAATATTTATTTATTTTACAATATTTAAAAGTCCATGGTAATAAATAAATAAACATTATGTTCAACTTTCTGGGATGTCTTTTTTATGAAACTAATGTAATAAAATATATAATAAAATATAACACTTCGCTAAATGTTAAAATACACATTTGCATTAAAACAAGGAATAGCACACTCTCTCACGTAAAATTGAATTATTTGAGCTTCGTATATAAACATATATATATATTTTTAATTTTGACCCTACGGTTTAGTTAATTAGTACGCTTAAAAAAAAGAAGTAAATTCCCAATTAAAAAAAAAAGATCTCATATAGAGTAATTTATATGGAATGTTTGCCATATGAGGAAGGGGATAATTAGCGAATTCCATGAAAACTAATTATTTTTACTTTATTTCCCACAACACAGTACAAGGGAACGTAAAAAAAAAAAAATTACATCATATTACACAGCTATTGAAATACGTTCAAAAAAATTTCGAATTAAAGAAAATAAATTACAAAGTTAATTTGCATATTTTTTTCAGGAGATTTAATTATCGTACTTAATAACAGTATTAATTAATAAAAGGTGATCCACATGATATTTTAATTTATTTTTATTATATTGAAATTCCCTGAAATTACGTGAGCTCAAACAAAAATAATTTATTTTTTATTTGCAATATTGATTTATGAAAGCTTTTAAAATTAAACGGACAATAAATTAATAATATGACTAGGCCATCAAAGCTTTAGTAATTACTACTACTAATCACTAAATAGCATATTAATTACATCATATAGAGTTCATATTTTAATCTGTAATATGCAATTACTGTGTTAAGCAATGCCACTCAATGTTAATAGTAGATTGTTATTCATTAATTAATCCTGTCAATCTATTTCAATTATCCCGTAAACTCTGATAATTATTAAACCAGCATAGAGTGAAATTTTCAAAGAGGTTTTAATCACTGTTTTGATTAAATAAAAATATAATAAATTTTACTAGCGTTTAGGTTTTGATTAAATTCTTAACTTTTTTTTCATTTTGGTTGGGTAATGGATAAAGTATGAGTGATAAATATAATAATCAACATAATTATAGTAAAATCGACAGTATAACACTAGATATGAAAAAATTAATTATTTACTTATTAATTTTTTTTGTTTTGCGTATGGGTATATTTGAAAATATGTTAAAAAGCTATTAATATATTATTTATTTTTATTAAAATGTTTAAGAAAGTGGGATGAACTCTGATGTTCAAATTTGCCCAAATCCTTTCGTAAATTTATATAATAAATAAGAAATATTTCATTTTTCAGGAGACTATGTTCAAAATAAAGAATAAAACGCAACACATAATAAATGTATTTACAATATAAATGAAAATGATTTATTTAATTTAAATTTATTTATGGTTAGTATAAAAATAGAAGGCAAAAACAAATATAAATACTGCTCTCATACACATGTGATAATAATGTATTTATATGGAACAGACATTTCTATAACTGGAGCTCATTTTAACACTGACGTCAGAGATCACGAGACACGTTATTAGGGAAACAGTTCTATACTGGTGGTTCTATATTGATGACATTTTAAAACATTAACATAATTTAGCAAGGATTTTAAAATATAAAAATAATTTGATTTAAATATTATTAATTCCCAATTTTTAAAGAAAATAAGATCGAACAAAATGCATACTATCTATAATTCGTATAAGATTATCGCAAACATTTTTTTCTCCAATATATAAACATACACATTAAAAAAATAAATGTTAAGTTGAAATTTCGACTATTAGTATTAGTAATTTTAGAAATAAGGCAAAATTGGTTGTAAATTAGAGGATTATTTTGGAGTTATATTCGGTAAATTTTATAGAATTCAAATTGAGATAGAATTAAATTAAATATTTTTTGTTTCATTTTATAATAATTTAAAGTTAATATAAAACTTAGTGCCTACGTTTTTTTTTATTAAAAAACTTTTTTGTTTTGATTGAAAATTTTAGTTGAAAAACTATAAGAACCTAACTAAATACATGACTGTACTTTGCTTCATAATTTATACCTCAGTTCAATAATAATCTATAGTTTTAAAATAGAAAAAAATATAAATAATTTAGGACAATCACGAACGTATATTTTTAAAACTGTTTTTATATTGGTAATGTTTTTGTTTTTTTAGTAAGTAATATGACATTCTGTCAGAAGGACAATAATTTTAGAAAGCTAAGAATACATCCACAATTGGTAATAAAGAAAACAGATTCAGTTTACACCATATAATAATAAGGAAATAATAACATTTTAGAGAAATTTTATAATGCAACACTGGTTCATAGGCATAGAAATTTATTTTTCAGCATTATAACATGATAAACCTTTTTTAAGAAACAGGGCTTTGAGCCATTTCATGCTTTGAGCCAGACCGAGAGTCCCATATATCAAGATAAACCGCTGAACACTAAACCAACGTCAGCTTACTCCGTTCCCTTCTAGCTCCACTTTCTAAATTTCAACTGCTTCAAATTTAAACCAACTCAGTTAAAAGCAAGAATAAAATTTATGTTAAGATTCTTACGTTGTTAGAAACGAAAACGTAACCTAACACTCGGAAATTGATAACACTTGGGAGATTAGTACAACACAAATCGTATGTTTATTGTTACTTAAGCAAAAGTGGAAAATCGTTAATACTTGAGTTATAAGTTAGTATGATTCTTAAGTGGTATATTAATATAAATATGTAGATGTACTCAAAACGATAACAATCCATCAAAAGTTTTGAATCGTATCGATCTTCTTCCAAGCTAGAGAACGATAGGAATATATTGACATAGTGGAACCATTACAAATGACTACGTAACACACATTGCAAATCCTAGTGAGAGAATGCGTGAGTGTGTGAGGAGAGAGAAGAGAGGAGAGAGAGAGAGAGAGAGAGAGAGAGAGAGAGAGAGAGAGAGAGAGAGAGAGAGAGAGAGAGAGAGAGAGAGAGAGAGAGAGCAGACCAAGGCGGGCAGTGATTGATGGGAGGCTAATCAGCTGACTGCATTGTGCGGCCTAGGCCAACCTTCACCCCCCGCAGCCTGTCTAGCGCCTCTTTTATCGGTCATTGCCCTCTTCTTATCTCTTGTCAACCGGCTTCCAACTTTCGGGCCCAAGTCTACGGCCAGGTATAGCCATTGTACCACAAATATGGGTTCAACCAGCAAACAATGCAAGTTCATGGGGTCAGCTTTCTTACCATGAACGTGAAAGAATAGTCTAGTCAAAACCTCCACATTTTCTCCACACGAGAATTAATAATTAAGTGCATCGAACAGTTATGAGTCCTAGACGAACATGATAACAACCTGTTTGTCACCACGGATATGCAGGATTGTTTTCTAAAATAAAATAAGATAAATGAATCCAAATATATGATATTCTAATGTCTAAGATATCACTAGGGATTCCTGAGACCAAAATACCCTAATAAATTGCGTCTCTTCTCCTTAAGCATAAAGTTACAACTATCAATCATATCGGTAATTTAGAAAGCAAAATTGACTATTCATTTTTATAGGGGTGTTCTGTAATAAATTCGTACATCACTAATTGTTACTTGACATAAGACATTATTTGAATATTCATCGATACCTATGTTTAAGTACATGGTTCATACCTGTATGGTTATCCTATTAAACTATTTATATACAAATTGCTTTCAAAATATATTTCTAATAATAGATTCAACCAAGCCGATTACAACATAATATTGGAACCATCCATGTGCAGTAGATTAGTTTGCATCTAATGACATAGTAGGCATAAAGGGTCGTGGGGAAGGATGGGCAGCGGTGCAATATTACCCCGAGGATTGCACCGCCTGAGAATTGCTTCATTAGAGGAGCAAATAATATGGCGGGTAATAATATGTCTCCTAATGGAACAATTTATATTTAATAATGATAGGTCCGCTCCTCCACCAATGGCCTCTGGATAAGATCTCCCCGCACGCCCTCTGGTTATTACAGGCTCCAGTGCTCTTCTGCCTCCGGTACCTCTCCGCCGGGTATCCTGCAACGTCCTGGTTATGACTCCTCGACGAAAAGCAATAAAGGAGATAGTGATTTCCCTATTGCTGGATCGTTCAACTCCCACACGATATTTGATCTAGTCTTACAGGCATCAACTAACAAAGCTATATTGGTTTGCACACATAACTTTTTTTTTGGTTTATTATTTTCAATAATAAAGCATTGTGATCGACCAAAAAATTCAATAACTTAACCCCCTCTCAAAATTTGAGGTTTCACGTTTCAGGATGCGTAGAATTCAAAAAACGAATAAACATTTTTTGTCCGTCCGCGCATTTTCTCCGAAACTACTGGACCGATTATTTTCAAATTCGGATATAAAATCAGAGGTCAGCAGAGGATGATCCTTCTTGATCGACATTACTGTCCGCCTTTTACTTTCAAAATGGCGGGCGAAAAACCTGCGTTGCTATAGACTGTAGCTCCTAAACGAATGTACCGATTTCAATGATACTTCGCTAAAGTCATTTTCTCGACGACCTTTAAATATATCTATATAAACATACTTCAACGAAAAGAAGCTGGAAAAAAAGTTACGAGGGATGGTAAAATTAAATTCCGAATAACTCAAAAAGTTTACACTTTGTTGTCGATATTGTTATAAGATGTTTCAAAGGTATTTAAATTTATTAAAAAAATGAAGGAAGTTTCATCAAAACTAACCACTATTAGCAGAGATATCGCTATGAGAAACCTATTCTTAAATGAGAGACCTGACCCAAAAGTTGTATAATCATATTCAAACCTAACTTTCACAGAGATTTAGGTTTTAATATATATATATATACATACACACACATATATATTTTTTTGTTGTATTGACAAGATGTGATTAAAAATACAACCAATAAATAATGATTTAATTCTCGCAAAACACTGATGATTCATTTGATTAAAGGTAAATATTTGACCCACTCGAACCTTATCACAAACAAAGATAAACTCGGCTAACAGGGCAAATACAAAATAATTAATATTTATTTGAAATTGAATAGGACATCACATTTTCTTCAAATGTTATTTATTCCAACCTTTTCAGGAAACAAGATAACAAAATTATAAGGGAACATGATTTCATTGCCTCGTTTCTCCCTAACAAGGACTAGACGAAATAAAAAAAAAAAAAGGAAAACCCAATCCCCTTAAAAGGGGCAGAAACTGTTACATTGTAATCTGCCCCCTTTTAGAAACAAGAGCCCCCTTTCTAACCAATTTAACTGAAATGCGGGGTTCGGTCGGAATAGGGGCCGCCCGGGCAGAAAACATTCCAAGGGTAGTTCTGACAGCATCGACTGACCCATTTCTCCCTTAAGGGTTCCGAAGGGCCATCTTTGCCAGGGTAAACAACATAGCCCATCCTCATCTTGTGTACCAAACCAAGAAACGGAGGGGGTAGCCTCCAGAAGGGAAACAAACAAATTTTTTTCAACTAAAGGGGCGAAATAAATTTCTGATGATAACGGGTCAAAGGTCCTAAAAACGAAAACACGATTTTATGAACTTTAACAACTTATATGGTATTTATAATGATGTAGAGATGGTTGACCGTTGATATAATATGAGAAGGAGTTGATCGGGGGATGCGGTCAAATAAATACTAAATTAAACAAATAGTATTATTTAATTTTTGCAGACGTTTCGACCCACTTTGCAGGACTTCATCAGGGCGAGGATGTAGCACTGCGGGAAACACTCTTAGTGTTTCAACTGTCTCCCACAGTGCTACATCCTCGCCCTGATGAAGACCTGCAAAGTGGGTCGAAACGTCGGCAAACATTAAATAATACTATTTGTTTAATTTAGTATTTATTTGACCGCACCACACGATCAACTCCTTCTCATATATGGTATTTAAATTATGACATTGTCAGTTTACTGGAGGCTATTTTCTATGCCTCGAAGCGCCACGTGAGAAAAATGCAATAATATATCTCAAACAGTGAAGCACTTGCTGGATGATTGCCTCCAATTAGAAAACGACAAAACAAAAAAAATATATATATTAGTCCCTAACAAAAATATTAAGAGAAATTCTACAGGATAGTGAAGAGCTATTTTGCAGCGGAAGGCTACCAGTTTTGAAAAGTTACAAAACAGAAAGAAAAAGTAACTGTTTATAAACATGTAAAGTAACTAAATTACGTCCAGAGGATCCATTGATGCTATAAGGCAGGGTGAAACATCGGTCATTCAGCCGATAAATAAAATAACGCGCTTCTACAGGTTAATAAAGAGCGGGTCTCTACAACGTACTAGCTGTACATGATACGCACAATGTACGATTAAAACGACTCCTGGAAATATAAGCTTCTTATCGATGCAATAAGAGGTTTACTTAAAGCTGTTACTCCATGATCTAACAACAGAAGCTCTCTTACAGAAGAATAGAGCTAAGGGGTTTAGGAGATCTTAATATAGCTACACCCATAAGTATCGAACAAGCTTATATTTCGAAATTAGTGGAATACTCATCTGATGAGTAGTCCAAGATTGGGTAAACTGGATTGTATTATATTGAGTCGTTAAAAATTAAAACTGGTTGTATAATTATCATGAAAAAAAATCTTCAAAAGCTGTTTAATCAATAAAAACAGTAATCGACAAAATGACACTAGACTCCTAAAACATTTTATATAATTCTTTGTTTCCTGGTGGAAAAGCCGTCAAAGATATAGCCAAAGGGCAATGACACTGGACTGGGGATTCCTCCGTTTTGACTGACAAAACCATACTATCTCTCAAAACACTCATCCTCAAGAGAGGGGAGAGTTCATTACTAATGAAGCACTGTGGTAGTTAACATTGAAGGAAACAGCTGAAATGAGATATTACCATTCAGTTCTGTGGAATGATCAATCTCCCTCACTAGAAGATGGACTTGATAATTTGACTTGGGGCCGACTTTTTTCTTCAAATTCACAAGTTTAAGACAACTCCAAGAGCTAATTAAAACCGTGATTTTGTTAGCTTCTCTCCCTGAGGAAGATCTCTGCTGAGACAATAGACAATAAGCCAGTGCTCTCAAAAACTCATCTACGGTATCTCGGACTATACTTATATTATAAAACTTACCTGGAACATTCACACTAAATTAAAACAACAAGAACTGACAAGACAACACAAACCACTGTCACATCTTTTGGACTATAGATCTCCACTCAACTTACTAAACAAGCGACTAATCTACACCACCACACTAAGACCTATTTGGACATACGGAGCAGAACTCATGGCTTCCACACAATCCAAACTACTTCATAAAATCGTCAATGCTCCTTGGTTTACCTCAAATCACACCATACACACAGATATGAACATAAAATCTTACATACACAACAAGTACCCATTTCATTCTTCTACTCTCAATAATTGAAATCCACTCGTTCTATCTCTATTATCCTCCCTGTTATCTGGTGTGCCTCAAAGACGACTAAAAAGGCAGTGGCCCAGATATCTTCTGCTGACAAGTTAAGCAAGTATCAAGAATACAAGAAGATAGAATAAACGCCAACACATTTGCTTGATGCGTAACAACGCAGTGGCAAATTTAATGGGGAACAAAAATTTGGTTAGATTATAATTCTTAGTTATATCATACTGCTGCTAAATTAAGAAGAATGAACATTAGGCCTTTAGTCTAAGCGACTCAATTTCACTATAAATATGTTAGTATTTTTAAATTAACAAACAAAATATAAAATTTCACCTGAAACTGATTTATCGAGCAATCAAGAACAACGAGAGGTGATTAAGAATATTTTTTGTTAATTTAGAATCCAAGGAACTGCCAGAGGAAATTCTTAAAATGTAAGCATATCTTCAGAATAAATACAGATAAAGAAAGATCTCCGACTTTGAATAGCGACATTGGAAATGATTTCTATTAGGGGACTGAGTTTATTTAAATGTTTATTATTAAAGTTATTGTTTTTAATTTAACCAACATTTTAAAAGAAGAGTACTTATAATTTGTTTATGGCATCCCTTGTGGGGATACATATGAGTACATTATTGTACTACTAACCAAACATGTATTAGAGTAATTATCTTAGTACATGTACTACCAAATAAATAAATAAATGTTATAGGAGACGACAAAGCAACATGTCCATTTTTTTCTTTAAATCAAACAAGGAAAACTGCTTATGCGTTTTTGGACTTAGGAGGTATCCTAAGATAATCCTTGTAATAAAGCTATGTTACAAACATTGACTTTTTAAAAATGAAAGATGTTCGTCATATGAGACTACTCATATAAGTTAAATGATATCTAAAATAAAAAATGCATCGGAATATCATAAATAAAACTGACGATCCTAAATATGCCGTATATTTTTAAACGGAAGGTTAGAATGAAGTGGGATTCTTGAATGGGATTACACTAATTGTGAGTTAACAGTCCAATCAACTATCGAGGAACAATAAAGATGCAAATCCACTCATGTTGGAGCAGAAAGTGATTCATCAATTAAGCGTGAGTGGGTCCATCAAGTTTATTGATCCGGAATACTCACTCGAAATGAAAAACAAACGAGTAAAAAAAAAAAAACACTGCATCAATGAATAAATCTGGCAAGGTTTCAAAAAGTGCATTAAGATTGGCTGTGCTAAAAGAGACTATTCACCTCAGACTTGGCTCGATCTGCCTCGTATTTCAAAGGAATTGCAGCGTCTCCCTCTTTCGAGTTGTTCGAGTTGGATCATAGAGCGGAGTTGTTTGAGTTGGATCATAGAGCTGAGTTGTTTGAGTTGGATCATAGAGCGGAGCTGTACTCCTGCGGCGAAGAGAGGTCGCATCGAACGGCGAAGTATACGAGGAGAGGAGTCGGCAAAGGGAGCTCTATTATTAGTTGTTTTACCTTGACATTGACCCTCTGCCCCTCCCCTGCTTCACCCACGCTTTATATTCTTTGTGTCCCACCTCTCACGGCCGGCGGTATCCTTTGACCCGGGTAGGGTACTGCCATATATATGCCATCATGCCTGTTTGTATCTACAATAAATATGGATAATTATACGGTCGGTAATAAATTATTGTTTTGAACTTATTAAAAATATTATTTTGAACTTGATAAAAATATTTATGCAAATTATCATATAAATTATGCAAATATCGAAAAACACTATCAATAAATATGTTAGGTGATAAATACAGTCATTTTTAAAATGACTGCGCCCTGACTATTAATCACCTATGACATGTAAAACATTCAACTAACTTACTTCAATAATTCTATCAATATATATGGTATCAATATTTTGAAAGATATAAATATTTCGATGAAACGAAATTCGTTATTTTCAATCTTTGAAAAAATGTAAATACTGAACAAAATATAGATTTTTATAAATTTTACATCACAAAAAAAAAAAACACATACAAGTATTTCTTAATAAAAACAATTTTATAAATAAATAAATAGGTCTAGACAAAAAATCCCTTAAATTGCTCACATAAAAAGAAAAGATGTAAATTAAATTTATTATTAAAGTCATATTTTTAAGAACAATAAAGAAATTAATTTAATTGCTGAGTATTAACAATAATAATAACGATAATATTAATACTAAAAAAAAAACACGAAAGAAAGAAAATTAGAGAATTCAAAATTTTCATTATAAAGCATTAAAAAGTAAATAAATTACTGAATTATAAAATAATAATTAAACCAGTGTTTTCCAAGTATCATGTTTAATTTTATCATGTTACATTCCTGGTAGATAAAAAAAAAAAAAAAAAAAAAAAAATTATTGGCATTATTTTAGGGATATATCAGTTTACGTTAGGAAAAATAACATCGATAATACAAAAATCGAAATAAATTCTTTAATCAGATACATTCTGATGATAAAAAATAAATAAAGAAAAATCACAATTTTTGTTACCTAATACTTTATGAACATTTCATATTCATAGGAATATTAACGTTTTCAAGTATTGCAAAACACATACATATCAAATATAATAATTTTGTGATAACTCAAATTCCTGCTTAAAAGACAAATTGACATACGGAAAATATTATGCTTAATAAATTTGGTACCTCTAAGCTTTGATTACATTTAAAGAATTAATTACATACAATACTGTGCCCAAGCAATTAAATTTATCAAACAAATCACTATTTTATGGATTAAATATTCCACATAACATCTATTTTCGTAAACTTGTTTTAATTTTAACCTAGTCGAATATGTTTCTCGTAGTGTTGCCCAAAATCGGTCTTGGTCTTGCACTTTGTAAGACCAAGGACAGGACCGGTAAAAGAAATCGATTTCAAAAAATAAAATTAAGGCAAAATAGTTACTAATACTTGACAATCTTAGTTATTATATGTAAATTATTGGTATAACCAACATACTGTAGCATTGAACTCCTATAATTTTTCATTCGAGGTTAGTTAGATTTCTCCTATCTAAAAAATATAAAAATTACAGTAATATCTCTCAAGTAATAAGTAACTGCTAGACTCTTGCGCAAGACCAAGACTCGTCTCGGTCTTACATTTGGGCAGCACTAGTTCCTCGTATGTAAACGACATCTGCATTGACACAGTCACTTTTCTATTCGAGAAATTAACATATTAACACTATAAAAGATCAAGTAAAAAGGAAAATTGTGGAAAATAAAAAATAGAGGTAAACAGATAAGACTAATAGAAATAATTTTTTGTAGTGATATTTGCAAGCATCGAATGATGGGTTCAAGAACCAGACAGGTCGATTGAAACTAAAACAGGGATAACAACTCAAAAGGACTCAAGTTAAAACAAGCCACTTAGGGAGTTTAGGAAGAATAATCCGATGGAATTAAGGGAAAGGAAAACATGATAATATTCCTGGAAACAGCTGTTTTAAAGTTGGTATCCTAAAGGATGTAACGTCAAAAGGAGTTGAAAGAAATATTTTAGTACGTCCACTAGGGCTGCTAATTGGCCCGGTTGGAGAAATGGCTGAAATTCCTCTAATCCTGCGTGCGTGGGGTTATTGTCTTTTTGATTGGGAGGAGGTGAGGCGGGGGGAGGGAGGAGGCAGGGGGGTGGTGCGGCGTTGCCGCTCCCGGGGAGGGGGCGCGGGGAAATCAATATGAGGCCCGTCTCGGCCGGGGGCAGCGCCGGCAACGCCGCGCCACTCCCCGCCACCCCTCCCAAAGGCCAAGGGTAGGGTGAGGGGGTGTCTATCCAGTCCATTATGTAGGCTCGGTCCATGTTCGATTCTCAACGTACATTCTTAGGGTACTTGCTACTTTTAGTCCGTACGGTTTGCTATCATAAAAAACTAAAAAAAAAACAAACAATCTTTTGTATTTTCTAGCATTAACAACTATTCACTAATAGCAACAAGGAAATGTAACAATTATAAATAATACTACGATCTGTTTCGCAATAACGAGACAGGTTCATTAATGGGAGTGGTATATTAATCTTCAGAGAAAAAGGAAAACTGCTTGGAGTTAACTTACCAACCATGCGTACTTGTACCATGTGTAATATTAAGACCCGTTTTCATCAACAAACGTGATTAAACCAAGTATTCTTGTAAAGTTTTTTTTGTAATAAAAGTTTTTTATTTATTTTTTTGACAATCAGCAAATGTGACAGAGATGCAAGATATTATAACAATATTTTACACAACAACTATTTTCGTAAACTTGTTTTAATTTTAACCTATTTGGATATGTTTCCCGTAAGTAAAGAACATCTGCATTGACACGGTCATTTTTCAATTCGAGAAACAGATATTAAAACTACAAAATATCAGGCAAAAAGGAAAATTGTTTCAATTACTTAGGCTGTTTAAGGAAGAAATCATATAATTTTTTTCTATATTTCTTCTGAATGAAATAACACTTATTGCCAGAGACAATCAAAAAAGTTAAATGTGAAAAATAATATTTTCTTTGAAATCGAATTTTCACGATATGTGTCAAAGAAAAAGTAACCATAAATGAAGTAACTGTAACTTTAACATTAGTTGAAGATTTAATCGAGGTTTAAAGTTCGGTTAACTAACCGAGAATAATATGTGAGAATGAATCAAATCAAATGATACGTGATTATTGACAATTGAAAGGTTTATATCATTCATATGTGAACTAATAAAATAAAAGTAATTGATAAACACATATTAATAAAGGTAAGATTATTAAATTAACAGTTTATAAGATTAATAGAAAAAACAAACAACTATAATTGTTTCATATATTAAGTAGTAGCTTAATAGCCTAACTATCGAAAGCAAACGTGAAAACACATTACTTTAATTGGTAGTAAAAAGTACTTCAAGCCATTTATGAGTCATTAATAAACACCGATCAGCAGGAGAAACTACTTCGAGTACATAACAATGAATGGGTATTCCCATATCACAAAGAATTTTTTCAGTCAATAATTTAACTACTACACGATTTAAACTAAACATTATATATATATTGTGTGTGTGTGTGTGAATTAGTATTTAATCCATCACACAATTAAATTAAAAAAGCTATTTTTCTTTTTTAACTTGAATACCTCTCAACTACAAATAAATAAATAAAAGTCATTTCCACAGAAAGCTTATTTAACAGATGAGTTAACCATTGAGCCATTGAGTCTAATAAATTTGTCTAAATATTTTAATTTAAAAAATAAATAATACTTAAGGTATTTTTAAAATGAGATTTATTCTATGTTTGTTTCAGAATATTTCGCACCCATCGTGAGTTTTAGTTTTAAATATTTTCACGTAGGTAATATTATAATTTATGTAATCCATTTAAGAAAAGTAAAATATGTACTTATTTGCTTGTTTTTCCAGTAAATCTTTTTTATATCTTTCCTACTTCTGACGATTGCAGAGAAACATGACAATATATTTGTTTTTATTATTATTTGGTGTGAAAATATAGAAAATGTGATATTAATATGTGAAAAGTATTATAGAAAATTACGAATGTTCGAAATCTATGTCTATCTAAAAAATAAAAAAAGACTTGTTAACAAGGGGAGCGAAGAGAAAAATTAGGGGAATTCAAAATTATAAATTCAAATAAAAGCAAAAAAATAAAAATAAAATAGACAAGCGAAAGAGATGTGTAATTATAAAAAATGCTTAAGTTTACAAGATGCAAATAAACAGAATATACATTTCCTCTTAAAAGGAGAAGTTAAAGAGGGGAAAACTTATACAAAACAGCCGAGCGTACATCTTAAACTTCAAACGGGATCAACTTACACTTGAAAACTTCTACAGCTGACGGCTAACACAAGTGGCTTTACGTCTCCTGTTAAGCTTAACTAAATTATTCATAACGCGTCTATGCCTTTATTTATTTTATATTACTTAAGTTTTTTTATAGGACATTACACTGCATTTATATCATGACTTTCATCATTTTTACCATGACTATTGCGAAAACTTAATAAATATTCATTCAACAGAATTTACAATGATAAATATTATAACATAAATTTAAGATAAACTCTTTTCCAATAAATTATTAAGACGAAAACAATATAATATTCAATTACATAGAATGAACGCACCAGTTACGGACAGGGGAGCCAATTATGGACAGGTTGGACTTTAAATGTAAATAATAAGCTTCCTTGTTGATATAAATGTTTCATTTTTTTATAGATTGGAGAACAATGCCTCTACTGAGAAATGTATGAACAAAGTTTCCAAAAGAAAATTTTAAAATGTCAATCGTAGTTTCTATAATAGTCTTGAGGTCAGCGTGTTTCATACATTTCTACTAAAATTGTTTCCAAGATCAATTTGAACATTTATGTTATCTAATCTTTATCGTTAAT